TTAATTTTGGACATGTTGCATGTGGGACATCCAGGTGGAAATGTCAAATATGCAGGAAGAAATATGGGCCTGAAACACAGTAGAGACATAAACTTGGTACTCAGTGGTGTACTATGATAGTTGACACTGGGGTCTGAGTGAGATAACTCAGCAAGTGAAGGGTGAGAAGATCAAGGACATACTTATGCATAACACTAACATTTAAAAGGCAGGTAAAGAATGGAAAGCCAGGCAAAAAAAACTAGTAGGAGCTGTCTGTGAATGAACATAACAGGATAACAATTTTTAGGTTAAAGGACTCCCATCTTCATTGCTTGAAAGATCTACTCTAGAATCAGGCTGCAACCAGACAGCGGATGAAGATAGTAACTAAAACTAGACACGACACAAAGGCCATGGCTACATTTAGGATGCTGAGTCAAATCAATGTTAACTGTAGTTATATAACTAAAACCATATAATAGAAATTGGTTAAAGTAGTATACTGAACAGATTAAGTCTTACCAGGCATTCACAATGCAACAATTGAAGTGATTGCTATGCTAAATACTCTCCTCTGAAGAGAGAGAGGAAGATAACTGCAAAATGTCTATCTCTGTTAAGGCTCCCCTCCCTAAGAAAGCCAACTTCATGCAACTGCCCAGGATTTGGTGTCAGGGGCTGATTCCTAGCCAGGGGTTGCCAGCTGCAGAGGGCGGGGCTCTATTTTGGGCTGCCTGTCCCTGAGCCTGGCCAAGTCTGGTTTGAGCAGCATGCAGCCCCAGTGACTCACACACCCATGCAAACCGCCTGTGGCTCAGTGGCCTGGCCTCGGAATGCCAGCCTTAGGCCAGCTCCCTCCTCACCCCATTACACTGGGATAAATAAATAAAGAGCCCCGCCAGCAGCCGCACAGCCTGATGGCAACCAGATGGAGAGAGAAAGGCATGGACAGGACCAGGGAAGGAACTCCCTCCAGTGGACTAGACTGAGAGTGGGCTGTGCCAGCCCAATCACTCTAAAGTTCCCCATTTAACATAGTTCCTACTGACATGCAATAATAGTCCCCAATTCCTTGACTCATCTTCCACTCCTAAAGGTGACTTTCAGTCCCTAGTCCTAGAAAATGCTCTGTATGGGGCTCTTGTCCTCTATGAGTATCATGCTAGCAGCCACCCCACCCAGCTGACTTGTACCAACATTGCCAGTATCCCCCCTCTAGTTAGGCTACCATCAACTGGTGCCCTTGGGCTCCCTGGAAATGAGAAATCAGAGGCTCTTGGGGGAGAGGGTACAAAAGGACTAAATATGGAGAAGTAACCCCTGTTCAATCCTTAAATATTTTTCCTGGCTTTACTATCCTAGAAACCTCCCTGTCCTGCTGCCTCCTGCCCTATCTTAGGGCCTCCTGCTCAGCAATAATCCCAATGAGAACTAGGAAAAACAGACTCCAGGTACTGACCACATGGCCCTCTGACATCAGTCCTGGCCCCCCTGCACCTCATCCCGAGCTCTCTGTCCCTGGTTTGTTTATCTTCCTATGTTGCTTATTTTGATGGCACATCCGTTCAGTTCAGTCTTGAATGACCCCATGACCCTTCTGTGTCCTGTTTGTAGGACCCCAGGCAAACAGGGTAACTGAAAAGATGCAACAGCCATAAGAGATTCTGCAGTCTCATTAGGAAACTTTTCAGTTCTAGCAGTGATGCAGGACATCAGTGATACCAGAGGACAGTGTAGTGATCCCAGAGGTCACAAGATTCCACATTACCTTAGCCCTTAAATCTCCTCTAATTGGTGTGTACAACCAAAGAACAAAACAAAATAGGGATAATCCTAGACCAGAAATGTAGGAGGTCCCAAACATACAGCTATAGCTTTATGACCTTAGGCAAGTCACTTAACTTCTCAGAGGCCCAATTTCTTAATCTATGAAATGGAAAGCTATAGCTACCTATCTCCCAGATCCTTTACAGATATAATAAAATTCTACAAGTCTATGTGGTTTGGATGTGATCCACCCAAAGCCTAAAGGACCAGTATTGTTGAAGTAGTTGGTTCCAAAACAACTATTAGCACCTTCCTGGACTAGCACCTGGATTCTGTGTGCTTTTGTCTTCTTTTTTTAAATCCTCGCCCAAGGATATATTTTTTTGTTTATTTGTTTGTTTTAATTGATTTTTTAGAGAGAAAGAAAGGGGGGGGAGGGAAGAGAGGGGGAGGAGAAAGAGCGAAACATCAATGTGAGAGAGAAACATCGAACATGCCTCCTGTATGCACCTCAACAGGAGATCAAACCTGCAACCTGGGTATGTGTCCTTACTAGCAATCAAACCTACAACCTTTTGGTGTACAGGACAACGCTCCAACCAGCTGAGCCACCCGGCCAGAGCTCTATATGCTTTCATATTCAGTTCTGTAGGGTGCTCCCTGCCCCAATAGCATGAAAGGAATGAGCCACCAATTTTACAAATGAGAAAATAGAGGTTCTGAGATAAGTGATTTATCCAAAGCTGCAAAATGAACCAGGAGAATACCAAAGACCCCAAAGACAGGTCTAACAAGCAACACTGTATCTACAGGCCACACTACCACAATTTTCATAAAATCCCCCTGGCATATATTTAGCAACATATTCATCTACACACTTATTGAGAACCTACTAGTACTAGGCACTATGCTCAGTGCTGGGGATATAGAAAAGCATTCAATATGGTCCTAGCCCTCATGTAGTCCATAGCTCAGCAGAGGAGAAAGAGAGTCTTGTAGACATACAAACAGTAATATTACAAAGTTACAAGTGGTAAAATAAAGATACAAACCAAGGTACTATAGCAGCAGGAATGAGGTATTATCTTTACTAAGAGAGTCCTGAAAGATCTCCTAAAGAAGCTGAAGCTGACACTTGAAAGATTAATAGGAGTGTACAAAGTAGATAAGTCCAGGGCATTGGGCAGTCTAGATAAAGGGAACAATGTGTACAAAGACACAGAGTTAGAGAAAAAGCATTTTTGGTGATTAAAAGTCATTCTGTATGGCCCAGCCAGTGTGACTCAGTGGTTGAGCACCGACCCATGCACCAAGAGGTCACCGGTTCAATTCCCGGTCAGGACTCATGCCCAGGTTGTGGGCCAAATCCCCAGTGGGGATCATGCAGAAGGCAGCCAGTCCATGTTCTCTCTCATTAATGTTTCTATCTTTCTCTCCCTCTCCCTTCCTCTCTCTCTAAAATCAATAAAAAAAAAAAAATGTTTTAAGTCATTCTATATGGCTGAAGAATAATGAACATAAAGAAAAATGTCAAGCCCTGGCCGGTTTGGCTTGGCGGTTAGAGCATCGGCCTGCGGTCCAGAGAGGCTTGGGTTCGGTTCCCGCTAAGGGCATGTACCTCAGTTGCAGTTTGTCCCCGGCCTTGGTTGGGTAGTGCGGGTGGCAGCCACTCGATGTGTCCCTTTCACATCGATGTTTCTCTTCTCTTCCTCTGTCTCCCTCCCACTCTATCTGAACAAAATAAAATGGAAAAATGTCCTCTGGTGAGGATTAAAAAGAAAAAGAAAGAAAGAAAAATGTCAAGCCCTGGCCAGTTTGGCTCAGCAGTTGGAGCGTCAGCCTGTAGACCAGAGAATTCCAGGTTCGGTTCCCGTTGGGGACACATACCAAAAAAAAAAAGTCAAGAAACCAAGCTGGATAGCTTTGTAGGCTCTAGATCAGGAAGGGACCACTCTGCTGAGCTAAGAATAAGACTTGCATTGTTTAACTAGGGGACTGAGGCACAAACTAGTATGTCATTTCCACCTATGTTAACCTTATCCCCAAACTTATAGACAGGGGAAGCTAACAGACAGAAGGACTAGGAAATCTCTAAGTCTCAGTTTAATGGTCTCTCTTTCCCCATAAAGACTTGAAACCTATTCTGCTTTAGGACTTAACAATACATGCTTTCCTTCTCCAGAGTTAAAACTGCTTCAATAGATGGACTTAGCACTCAACTCGCATTTTTTTCTCCTTAGCGTTAAGACCCCTAGCACTAAGGAGTCATTGCTCAGTCAACACACAAAGGCAGAACACAAAGTTCCACCTCAAGAACACCTGCTTTATGCTTAGCTCTGTGAAAAGTTCTAATTTCAGGTTCAAAAGAAATATGAGCTACAGCTCCTATCCACAAGTTTACAAATTAGCCTAGAAGACAGAATAGAAATGTGAATAATTTATACATAACATAGTATTATAATAGCATTATTTACTTACATAGTAAAATACCAACTTGAGTAACATGTACAATTACAAAATAGGGCAATAATACTAAGGTACTAACTGTACAACCAACAAGTCCCAGAAGAGTTAGAGAAGGAGAAGATCAATATTGACTAGTATTATCAAAGGTCACTATTAATAATACTCCCCCTGTTTGGCATTTAACAGATGTTTCTTTTGGCCAAGCTCAATCCTTAGAAGGGAAACCTAGGCAGGAGCTTCTGACAGGCCACAATTATCTACTCCCCATTCATTCCTTTGCCAGTCCCCTTGTATAAACACTGTGATTTTCCACAGCCTACTGTGCCCACAAGACAGTCCCCAAATGGTAGCCCTGTGCTTTTCACCTTCCTCTACTGCGGGATGTTGGAGGGGCCTTGACAAGTAATAATAACTAGTGCCCCCTCCCCCTGCTCCAGAATCTAGACCTGCGATCAGATCTCAACAAGCAAAATTTTAGCAACTGGGCAACCAAGTTTTCCAAGGTTAGAAAATTCCAAATGAAATACCTAGGTACTTTAACAGAGATGTTTTTTTAATATTAATCAGCCCCACTTTTGCCTTTTACGTTCTTTCCCCCTATTTTCCCCATCTTCCCCATGTATATCTCAAGCTTTATCAGACTTTCTATAGGCAACTTTTCCAGAGAAAGCACTTTTCCAACCATGCAAGCAACCTAATATCCAAATGCAAGTCACCACTCGGGAACCTGGAAAAAGGAAGTAAAGCCAAGTTGCACAGGAGAAAGGAAATAAGAAATACTCTACCTCTACCATAAACTGTTCCAAGAAAGACTTTTCTTCAAATGGCTCTGTCTTCAACCGATCTGTAATAAGAATGGATACAGAAAAGAAATGTGAGTCTTAGGACAAGCTTCATACCTGTGAGATGGAAATGAAACAGAACCCAAAACTTCTTGGGAAAGAGCACAAAGATGCAATACCTAGAGGCACCTAGTCCAGCAGGAAAAGGGATGAGAGTGTGTGGGCAAACAGGAGGAGGAGAAGGTGATTAGCAACACATGGCAGGTTTGGTGGCAGCATGTGCTCGAGGGAGTTTTCCCCAACACAAAGACAAAGGTCAAACTAAATTTTTATTTTTAAGTTGGAGTTATATAGCTTCCTAAAGTCCTAAGTTCATGTTGCCCTCGTACAATTTTGTATAGCTATTGGCCCCTTTCCAAAGTCTTTCCTTGCCATTGCCTAGGGCATGTCTGGACTGGGTCATGGCTTCTATTGGCCAGTTGGGCACCAGCCAGGTACTCGAGGCAGAGAGAAGTGTCACCAAGCATCAAGTCTCCAGTTTGGGTCAGTAGCTAGCACCCTCCCTCAAGGAAGCACCTCTCTAATAATGCAAATAAAGTTTTCCCCTTTTCTGAGGCACCTTTGATTATCTGTGCTATTCCCCACCCAACATCTCAAAGAATGTCCTCTCACCTCGGCTCAGCGTAGCCCCACTCTCCTGATAGTCCTGGATCTCTAGATCTTTCATACGAAGCAATGTTGCCAGCTCTCTCACTTGGCACTGCAATGCCAGACTCATGCCCATCAGAGGACAAATCAAATGCTGGGAGACCTTTCATGGAAGAGAGAGCAATTAGCCAACAGATACTTATAAAATACTCCCTAACACTGTATTAGGAACTAGAAAATAAATAAATAAATAAATAAATGTTTTCATAGGAACTTATAGTGTCATAGGCAAGCAATCCATTTACATGAATGTAAACACAAATTATTAAATAAGTATATTACAGCCCTGGCCGGTTTGGCTCAGCGGTTGGAGCATCGGCCTGCAGTCCTGAGAGACCCGGGTTCGGTTCCCGCTAGGGGCGCGTACCTCAGTTGCAGTTTGTCCCCGGCCCTGGTCAGTTGTGCGGGTGGCAACCACTCGATGTGTTCCTTTCACATCAATGTCTCTCTCTCTCTCTCTATTACTCTCTCTCCCTCCCACTCTACCTGAACAAAAAATGGAAAAATGTCCTTGGGTGAGGATAAAAAATAAAATAAAAATAAATAAGTATATTACAGAAGTTCAAGGATTTTCTTTGAGTCGCGGACAAAAAGATGGGAAGAATAAATACTCATGAATAGATCCTAGAGTTGTGATTTAAAGTGAAGGATGTGGTATAGCTGATAAGAGGAAAGTGCTAACTTATCTCTCAGCAGAGACTGAGAGACACAGGCAGATAACCCACGTAACCTTCAAGAAAGGTGATGAGGCCCTGACCAGTTTGGCTCTACGATTAGAACATTAGTCTGTGGACCAATGAGTCACGGGTTCAATTCTGGTCAAGGGCATGTGCCTGCGGTGTGAGTTGAGCTCCGGCCCTGCTCAAGGTCATGTGAGAGGCAACCAATCGATGTGTCTCTCTCACACAGATGTTTCTCTCTCTCTATCCCTCCCTGCCACTCTATCTGAAAATCAATGGAAAAGTATCCTCTGGTGAGGATTAAAAAAAAAAAAAGAAAGGTGATGAGGCTACAACAGAGTGTGCTTTCTAGAGTGTAGTAGGAGACAAAAATCCACAGTAAGTAAAAAATTCAAAGTCAAATTTTACCCAGACACTAATGAAGAGCCATTTCAGGGCTGATGATAGCCCAGAATAAGCCCAGAGTTTCTATCTGTTTCCACCAACGCAGCAAAGTCTAAGGCCACTATTGTAATAGAAGCAAGCCAGTCACCAAGAGACCAGCCTAGGAGGAAATAAACCACCAACACACACACCCTGCTCTTTACAAGAGATAAGAAGGTCACAAGCATAGCCATACTGCTGTGTAGCTAGGATGATGTTCTCATATGATAGTGTACAGCTATACAAAATTATCATTTAATTCACCTAAGCAAGGTATCCATTAGCCTTTGAAAGATGAAAGCCTTAGCTAAAGAAAATAACTAAAATCAATAATCTATTTGTGGCTTGGGAATGTTATCAGAGTTTCTTTCCCTTCCTCCAAGGAGATGAACTGAAGGAGGCACTATGAAGAAATGCCCTAGACCAGAGGTCAGCAAACTTTTTCTGTAAGGGCCAGAGAGTCAATATTTTCAGTTCTGTGGCCCATACAGTCCCTGTCGCAATACTCAACTCTGCTTTTGTAGCCTGAAAGCAGCCACAGACAACATGTAATAAATGAGGGTGGCTGGGTTCCAATAAAACTTTACAAAAATAGGCAGCAAGCCAGAGTTGGCCTGCTGGCCATAGTACACTAACCCCAGTCCTCGATCTAAAACAGAGAACTTTTAAACAAGATAGCCCACACAGGTCTGAAGTGAGGAAACGGTCCTGGACTCTCCTATAAGATGTGCAAGCCAGACTCACCTCAATCACAATCAGAAGTCTGACTCTTCAGACTTTTGCATTTTTGTTTTCCATTAATTTTCTAATAAAACTGCCTACTAAAAACTCCAGTTGTATTGTGGCTCAAACTGAGAGGAAAAGACTTTTTTCCACATTTTTCCCATGGGAAGAGGTAGGTTAGGGGTCAATGGTAGCAGATTTTGTACCAGCATCAGGACCCAAGAAATGCAGGGGTACTGGCACAAAGTGGAAAGCCAAAACTCAAGTCCAGCTATAGAACCCATACACCTCTTCTCATCACACAGCATGTCCCAAGCTGGTACTGTCTGCCAGCTCCGATCCTTCATATAAACTTAAGCTTCCAGGAAGTACTGTTCAGAATATGACAGAAGTTCTGCTTTGGGAAAATTTGTCTGCTCTAAACCCAACCCTCCTTCTTAGGAATTGCTTTCGGTAACTTTGGTCCTGTTCAAGGTAGATCAGGAAGAAAAACAGCTGAGTACTTGGATGAAAGCAAGTCAGTGTTTGGTGGGCTGAAATGAAATTGCCACTTGCTAACCAAGCAGCATCACCATCCATTTGGTGACAGCCACTCAAATAACAGAAACTCCTAAAGTTAATTAACTAGCCTCTCTCCAGGAGGCCACCTTAATAGCAATGTCTTTGAGTGGTAGTAAACATAACAACATGAAACATGATGAGAAGCAGTTTTCAATCAATGTCATGTCTAATTAAACCTGGTAATGCTATGCCAGGTACCTGAAATTATCTATCAGACTCCAGTGTCTATATAGGAAACAAACAAAAAATGGTTTTTATCAGTAAATATTTTAACTTCTAAAATATTTCATAGGTTTGGGTTACATCACTCTGAATCATTGGACTATAACTCACTTCAAAGTTAGATGAACACTAACTTAGATCAGTTAATTAGAACAAGGCATTGCGGCTGAAGGAACAGATTTCAAAGCAAATCCACAGACACTACAAGGAAAAATCTTGAAATGCTTTGGAGGGCAGGGACACACCCACCCCACCCCCTTCATTTATAGACAGCAATACACGAAGAGATGCAGTTCAACAAGTCAATTCAACAAATATCTACTATAATACATGCTCTGACCCCACAAGGCCTATGCCCTCAAAGAGCTCAAGAGTTAAGGAGGTCAGGAAGTGTGGTGGATATAGAAGCAGGAGCTGGCAATCTTCTCCAGAAGAAAAGCTAGTTATACTTTCCCATAATGTCTTCAGACCTCTCAAAGAAATGTTCACAAGTCATAGGCAGGAGAGCAGAATGGCAGTTATCAATCCCAAGAGAAATCCTATCAGGTTTGGATGTAGCGAGAAGGGTAAAAGAATGGGAATTAGAAGACTTCACTTCTAGTTCTGGCTCTGAGAGTACCTAGATGTAAAAATGGCTTAATCCCAAGTACTCTCATGGTCCCAATCTTTTCTAAAAAGAAAAATTATGAAGTTGGAGTATTTGCTCTCACAGGTCCATTATAATGCTAAAGGTAAGTAATATTCCATATGTCCTCTTACTTAATGCTCGTAAGTCCATAGTAAGGTTGTGATTGGTATCTCTACTTTACAGATAAAGAAATTGAGACTCATAAAAATTCAGTAACTTATCCTAGGTAATGTAAGTGGTGGAGGTGAGGTACAAATTCAGGCCTGCTAGTTCCAAATCCTGTGTTCTTCACTCTTTCTACCACAAAAAAACCTTTGCATATGAGTCCTAGGAATTATAAAACAGCCAGTGGTGACAAAGTTGAAAGTCAAAATATGGAATATCAAGAATTACATTAGAAAAAAAAATATATATATATATAACGACAAAAAGAATTACATTAGATACTAGAAAGAATACACAGTGGAAAGGAGGCAAAGATAAGAGAAGTTGGCCAGAAGTGGAAATGAGCTCAGTGTTGGAAAGCAGAAACCCAAAGCTTTATATATCTCAGAATATCCTTCAGAGACTTAAGAACTATTAAATTATTCATGTGAATACACTATGTCGTAGAGGGTGTGGGCAAACAGGTACTCTCCTATTCTCCTGCATGTCTAGTAGGAGTTATACTGCATAATGTCTCTAGAAGACAATCTGCATTATGTTAGCAAGAGTGAAGATGCAAATGTCCCTTGACTCAGCTATTCCACTTCTAAGAACTCACATAGAAAAAGTAAATACAAGGATATTCATCATATATAACAACAAAAGAATGGGAACAACTTAAGTGTCTACTAGTAGCATATCAATTAAACACATGTGGATATATTAATTAAATAAAACACTATGTTGTTATTAAAAATATTAAGGCAGGTCTTCTAAATGTATTGTGATTTATGATTTCTAAGTTCTACAATTAAGTTAAAAAAGCAAGATTCTGAACAGTGTGGACAGCTTGCTGCCATTTGTGAAAACACATACATAGACTCAGATAATATTTGATTGTGTGAAAATATACATACATACAAATACTCACCTATATAGAGCTTTCTTTAAGAATTTACATGAAGAGCCCTGGCCGGTTTGGCTCAGCGGTTGGAGTGTCGGCCTGCGGTACAGAGAGACCCGGGTTCGGTTCCCGCTAAGGGCACGTACCTCGGTTGCAGTTTGTCCCCGGCCCTGGTTGGTCGTGCGGGTGGCAGCCACTCGATGTGTCCTTTCACATCGATGTTTCTCTCTCTCTCTCTTCCTCTCTCTTCCTCCCGCTCTATCTGAACAAAAAATGGAAAAATGTCCTCGGGTGAGGATAAAAAAATATATAAAAAAAAAATAATAATAAAAAAAAAAAGAATTTACATGAAGCTATATCAGTAGTTGCTTTAGAGAAGGAAAAAGAGGGACTGGAAAGGAGGGTAGAAAGAAGACCTATTTTTTTCACTGTATATTCTTAAATGTCTGAAATGTTTCTCTTTTGCATGAATTACTCATTCAAAGAAATTAAATAAAAACTATCACAAGAATGAGTAACAAACAAAAATTATGACAATGTGACCTCACAGACACACACATAAGCTTAAAATAGTATCCACCTACATCCTTGCCAGTGTCCACTGGCTCTAACTTTTTCCCTATAAAGCTTCCTCAGGTTCCGAAATTTCCCTGGGATGGCATTCTTCTTCTTGTAAAAATAATCATTTTATTTTACATTAAAGCATATTTGTTAAGCAATTGTTCGATGCTCACTTCTCCCCACAGCCAACCAAGACTCATTCCATTCTGAACATTGTTGCCTCTTTTCTTATTGCAGCTCTCCAATTAGAGGAACTTGCCTAGAATAGTTTTTTCTTTACATATTATTTTCAATTGTAATATTCTTTTGAAAGAAAAAATTATTAGGGCTTACCAGCCTCCAAGGAGAACTGCCTCCCTATTCTGAGTTTCTAGAGCTGTGTGATGCAAAATGAGACTAGCCATCTTTCCCGCTTCCCAAAGGCCGCCCTAATGTTTTAGTCCCAGTACAAGCATTATTGAGGGGACAGTGCCCCCTGGTGTTACTCAGAAAAAGTTACAGGGGTTTTGAACCAAATAGGTAAATTCAGTATGTAAAGCAGGATGGAAAATTTCACCAGAAATTCAATTAAAATCAACAAATATGAGTAACTTTATCTACTACGCACTTTTTATGGGCCTTACAAATTCAGAGTTGAATGATGGATAGTTCTCTAAGCACTTAGGTCTAGCTCTACTCAGTTCAAGATCAAAATAAACACCAGAGAACAGTTTCTCAAAAGGCACTTTGTTCCATCTACCCTATTGATGCCAAAGCACCTCCAGGAGACTAAAGAAAGAAGATAGGGAATGAAGCCCACTTGCCAGATCTCTTGCTGATAAACCTACACCCAAAGGCCTTGCACAGAAGAACCCCCTCCTTTATTGCTACTGACTAAAACAAGCTCTGTTTATATAGAAGTGTAGAAGAGACCAGTGGCAATAATACCTGCAAACTAATTCTTAATGTCCACTTTCAACTAACCAATTTCTAATAAAAGCTCTTGGGACCTAGAAAACTACAAGTGAGCAGAGGACATTGTCCCCATAGTGTCTGAAAATGGCTTTCAAATCAGACTTATCTGCAAGTCAAATCCCAGCTCATTCATTTATAAGCTGGATGACTTTGGACAAATTACCTTCAATATCAGTTTCCTACTCTGAAAAAAACAGGGAATATAATACTTATCTTGCAGCACAACTGTGAGGATAAAATGATGAAATAATGTCCAGAAATGTACCTAACACTGGTACATACTCTACCCTATTGCCAGGGTGATCTTGATAAATTACAAATTGAATCATGTTAAACCCCTGCTTGCCCTGGCCGGTTTGGCTCAGCGGTTAGAGCATCGGCCTGTGGTCTGGAGAGACCCGGGTTCGGTTCCCGCTAAGGGCACGTACCTCAGTTGCAGTTTGTCCCTGGCCCCGGTTGGGTCGTGTGGGTAGCAACCACTCGATGTGTCCCTTTCACATCGATGTTTCTCTCTCACTCCCTCCCACTCTATCTGAACAAAATATATCAAAAAAAGAGGATAAAGAAAACAAACAAACAAAAAAACCCTGCTTAAAGTTTTTCAATGAATCCATGTTTCCATTGGGATAAAATCCAAACTCACTAGAACCCTTCAAGATCTAGCCACTGCCTACCTCAATGCTCACTTCTTCCCACGGCCTACCTCATTTCTCTCAACGCCCTGCAGTCACGAAGTTCCCCCACTTGCCCCACACTAAAACCTTTCCATGCCTCTCGAAATGCACTCTTGCCTAGAATTACCTCTTTATTTTCTCCCAGTTAGTTCCTACTCATCTTCAAAACTCAGCTCAGAAACCTTCAAGAAGTTTTGTCAGCCCTGGCTGGTTTGGCTCAGCTGTTAGTGTTGGCCAAAGGACCGAATGGTCGTGGGTTTAATTCCCACTCAAGGGCACATACCTGGGTTGCAGGTTTGATTCCCCAGGCCCAGTTGTGTCGGAGGCGACCAATTGATGTGTCTCTCATATGCATGTTTCTCTCTCTCCCCCCACCTCCCTTCCACTCTCTCTAAAAAAAAAAAAAAAAAAAAAAAAAAATCAATGGAAAAATATCCTCAAGTGAGGATTAACAAAAAAAAAAAAGTTTGTTGCATCCTCAATCATGCTGGGCTTAACCAATCAAAGAATTTAACATACTTTATCCTGTTACCTACCTGTCTTCTCACTAGATTATGAACTCCAGGAATAGGCTATGTTGCCTTAGATCTGGACACCCAACAATTGGCCCATAGTACATGTTTAATAAATGTTGGATAAAGTAATCAAAGATACCCATTTAAGTGTGTAGACCCAAACTCTGCTCCCTTTGCAAGGAAGGGATGTACCAGTCAAGAATCCCTTTTGCATTCTGCCTAGACAAGTAAAGTTTTTGAATTAGAGAATTTCAAATGGAGTTTCTAAAAAGTAAGAGCAGCCCGGCCAGAGTGGCTCAGTGGACTGAGCATTGGACTGAGAGGTTCCATTTTGATTCCTGGTCAGGGCACAAGCCTGGGTTGTGGGCTTGGTCCCCAGTAGGGGGCATGCAAGAGGCAGCTGATCAATCTCTCACCGATTTTTCTATCTCTCTCTCCCCTTCCTCTCTCTCTAAAAATATCAATGAAAACATTAAAAAAAAAAAAGTAAGAGCACCTAAAGCTTCACTTCAAAGCAGTTAGCAGTCCCCTTCTCTACCCAATACTTGAATTTCACTTACCAGAGAAGGGCTAGCTAGGATGCAGTGGAAATTCCAATAGAAGGGCAGACCAGAGAGCTCACTCCGCACCCGCAGTATCAGTGCCTCCGCCACACGATCACAGGAGAAGGTAGCTTTTCCAGGGCAAATAATGTCCTTCAACAGTGGGCGAAGCAGATCATCCAAATGACAGAGAAAAGCCTCAGGGGGGGCAGTCAGGCGCTTGTTCAGCTCCTAAAAATTCAGCAGGAGTTGTACAGAGTGAGGGTGCTCAAAGGAAACTGACTCGTTCTAAGTAACAGCAAAGGAAAACTCTGGTTAACATGAAGACAGTGGGCATGAGAAGAGAGATCAACTGGCCTACTTCACAATTCTGCCTTGTACTATATGCACCACATAACACACACACACACACACACACACACACCCACCCATATGGAAAGATCCCAGGGCTATAGGTAGAAGTACAGGACATTAACTGAAATGGTCTCAACCTGATTCAACCTTCCTTGACAACTGATAAGCTAGCAAGCTGACTGATGTTAATGTCCCCTGACCTTCACTAGGAAAGAAATAATATTCATTACCACAACCCAGCAGTACTTATCTTCACACTTACCTTGGCTCGCTGGCTGACCACACTAGCATCCACCTGTTCATGCCACACCTCTTGAAGATCTGAAATCAGCAAGGCATAGCCCTGCTTGGTGATATAAGCCTTAGCCAAGAGGGAGTTTTCAGCAAGCTGTAGCCATGCCCATGGCTGCATCAACAGGCCTTGCTCCAGTTCTTCCATCTGCAGGAAAGTCTTAATTTAGCAGTGTCCCAGAGTACTATAGGTCTGGTACAAGGGTACAAGGGATGGGGGGACCACCAGATAGTTCAAAATCTAATGTCTCATGAAATTCCTAATAAAACCAAAAGCATGGATTTACATTCTACCCCACTCATCCCCCACTCCTCCCCACCTCCAGGATATAAACAACTGAACACCAATCTTAGTACCACTTGGCCACTAAAAATCGATTTAGAATTTTGAAGGATTTTCCCCCCATATTATGTTCCCAGAGGGTATAAAATATCTCTTTCTTCTACAGCATTTAAGCCTCAGCATATTGGTATTAGTATTTCAGGTTTCTAATAATATAACTAAATGTGGAAACCTAAATGATTCTTGTTGCGTATTTATCACACTCCTAAGAAATATGTCAATGTTATCCTTTCCCAGGACTTCTAGAAGAGAAGGAATAGTTTTTGTCTCGTAAAACATCGTAAATCATAAGTGTCATCAGAGGAAATTCAAATTGTTTGATCATTATCTAAAACCAAAACTCTGGAAGCTCTCAGAACTTCAAACATATATATAGTCCATAAATATATATGACAAATATAATATATAATAAACATAATAATAAACAATAAATATAAAATAATATAAATGTACATTCCCTAAGACAGATTCTTAATCAGGAATCTATGTATACGAATCCTCTGGAATTACGTGTAAAACTTGTGCATACATGCATATACTCATTTGGAAAGAAGTCTGCAGCTACAGATAAATTCTCAAAGGGATCAATGACACACAAAAAGAGCTAATAAACACTGTGTCCACAGCAAACAAGAATGCCCAAATCCCATTTCAAGGGGAACCTGAAAGACTAAGAAGTCATGAATACAAGGCAGAGTACACTACAGTGGAAGAGATGATGAATTAACATCCTCTTCACTCATCTTCCACATCCCCCTCCCAAGGCACTGCCTTCAATGATACCATGTCCTGCTTGCTGCACATCCTAGATCTACTAGAAACCAACTCCCCTACTTCAACAATTCAATTTGTAGCCTTAACCTAGTAAACAGTCAGTAACTATAGCTACTTGACAAGAAGTTTGATTTTTCCTGTGGGTTAAAAAGAGGGGGTATTATAATTTCCTTCATTATTTCAGCTCCTTCATTATTTCAGTATATAAATACAAAGTGAAGTGAGGGGGCATCTCAGAATATAAAAAAATTCCTTGGATTTTCATTAACAAAGTCAACATGGTTTGTCCCAGTCATTTCCATCTCAGTCGAAGCCATTATTCTTCCAACCATAACCTAGTTTTTGAAACGCAGTCTTGTAACATAACTTAATTTGTACAGTCAGTAAACAAGTGAAATATAAATATACATCGTGACTTATTTGCAGCAGCTTCAAAACCTAGTTTGGTGAATGGTCAGCCCTCCCGTGCTGTTCCTGCCCGGAAGAGATCTTACTATGATTAAGCCAACCCTCACTGTACCCGAGTTCCACGCTGCCGAAGGGCACAAACACAAGTGAAGTGCCCAGCCCTTCTCTCCCTTAGAGGCTGTCTCGAGTGTACTCTGGTTCATCAAAATTGGGTTGATTACCCTGGCCTGTCACTTCAGACAGCCCGGAACTCGGGACCATCAAATTGTACGGATGTGGGGGTTTCGTAGTTGTTTCGTTTTGGGGTTGGGGGAGGAGTTTAAAGTGTGGCCAGGGTCAACAGGCCCATAAAAAGTCAGATATTCAGCACCTGACCTGAGGTTAGCTGCTCCCACACGCGTCCTGTTCTGAGTGTGGGCCCTCTCTATCCCATCTTTTTCTTGTTTTCTTCAAGAATGCCTTTAACTTCCACGTTAAGCAGATTCACCCGTTTATTTTTCTTAAATGAAGCGGCGGTGCGCCGAGGGCCAACACCGGGGTCACCTGAGCCCCGGAGTCTGCACCAAGCGCGCCCCTCAGCCGAGGCCGTCTCTGCGCAGTGCCTTCGCCATCCTGCAGAGGGCAGCAAGGCCCCAGGAACCCTCCGGACCGGACCACGCCCGGTACTTCTGGGAGGGGACGAACCCTCGCTCTCGTTACCACAGTCCCACCCCAGCAGCCCCGCCTGGCGTCGTGTCCAACCGCCCTCGCTAGAAGGGCCTTCGCTGTCCGCCTTTCCATGTCTACAGCACCGGCTGCACTGAGGCGCGGCTCCAGACCCCTCAGCGCGTAACAAAGCCGACAACCCGGGGCCTTGTCGCTCAAAGCAGCCCGCCAAGGAATAAACTTGGACCTTGCCTCGCAGTCGGGAGGCGCTCTGCGCACGCGCCGTCCCCGACGCCCCGCCCACCCCCAGAGGTCGGCCTCGGAACGTGGGCCGCGCACGGGTCCCTCCTGGGAGAAAGCGCCTGTGGCCGCGCAGGCATGCAGGCTCCAAGCAGCCCCTCGCCGCCCAGCCCCGGTCCTGGCCCTGTCCCCGGTTCGAGCCCGACCCCACCTACCGTGAGAGGGTGCTACAGCTCCCACCCTCCCCGCAGCAGACCGTCCCGCCCGCCCGCGCAAACCAAAAGGCCTAGAGTAGAGGCCTACACCCCCCCACGGGGAGGCGGGGCCTTGGGGCACTGGGGCGGGGCCCGGGTCTGACGTGGGCGGGGCATCTGGGCCCACTGAGCGCTCAGAGCCCGAGGCCCACCTGGCCTTAACAGCGGGAGAGGCGGGGCGACCCGCTGGTGGAGAGGTGGAGGGGTTGAGGGGCTGGCCGAGTGGGAAGAACGCAGGGTGAGGTGCAGGAGAGGGGTCCCTATATTTGGACTTGTCAATAGATGTCACTTCCCCTCCCTCCCCTACCTGTCTATATTTGATATACATAGGGAGAGGGTTAAACTTCACTAGATTATCTCTCGGGGTCCTCAGCAGCGGTCGAGCTCTTTAGGAGACCATAAATCCCACGATCTGACCTCATCCTTTACCTCCTCTCTTGTCTCATTTCTCCCTCCCTCCAGTCCCATAATTACGCTTCATCGCCGCTGAGAAGCTGGAAATCCCTCAACTCATCCTTTTGTACTTTGTACAACTTACGGTTTTTCTTGAGCTGGATACCTGAGCCAGAAAAATTCTCCCTGTGCATGTTCCAGAATCCTAAATCTTCCTCTTGCTAAGGCCAGCCTCTGTGCTGCTGCTGCCATGAAGCCTTTCCCACCAACCCTAGTCAGAATGAATTGTGTCTTCCTCTTTGTTCCCATAGCATTGTTTTATTCTTTATTACAAACTGCCGTCTGCTTTGGATTTTAGTAATTACATAAGTCTTTTAAAACCATAACTGTCTTGAGGGGGCAGGGACCTTGTCTTATTCACACCTGTAATTCCAGGGCCTTGCATATGGGAAGCACTCAATAAATATTAAGTGAATGCTAGAGTTTAGTTATAGATACTTCACAGGCAAAATGTCATTTATTAATTCATGGCCCCCTGCTCTGGAACAGTTGGGCCTAATTAAAAGGAGGAAAGGCAACACACCTATTAGGAAACAAGAAGGGCCCAGTTTACACATACACACCCACACACTCCCTAGGAGAAAGCAGAGCCTGGGAGCTGATTCTCCAGCAAGCTGGGAGATAAGGAGATAAGGCTATCTAACCAGGGCAGAAGTATGAGTCCTGGAATTAATGGGACCTAAGTTCTTCTCTGCTAGACCTGGGGCATTGCTCCCCCAAACCAGGCAGCAAGTTGGCTGTCTCTCCTGGCTCTGCGGGCCCTCCTTCCTCATTCCCAGGGTCTTCAGGCAGTGGGCAGAGGCAACGGACAGGCTGAGGGATGCAGGGACACAGGTTTTGGAGGGGAAAAGGAAGCTCATACTCTTGAGCAGCCTTCTCTCTGGACTTCTGAGGCATCTGAGCCTCTTGGGCAGTGAAAGGGGATGGTAACCCTTGACAAAGGCCTCGCTCAATCCGTGTGCCTGTAAAACAGAGGTTGGTCAGGCCGTTGCCCAACCCAGGGAGTGATGACTTGCTGGCCACTTCTAGTCTGCTAAGGCCTGGCCTCAACTTACCTGGAATGGTGTTCTCTAGGAGGAAACCCAAGAGTCCTGCCAGGAAGATGGGCTCTGTGAGCAGCGAGCAAAGTAACACATCCAAGGGACTCCAACCTAGAGGATGTTGGGACCAGGCAGTAAGGGAACCCTGATCCTATGCAAGGCCAAAGAGTCTTATACTTCCTGACCTAAATCTAAGTCTTGGACTAAGAACAGATCTTTCTGAATCATTATTTCATTCCCTTTGTCCTTTGTCCCTCTATGCTCCATTTCCCACACCCTGGCCCTTCCCACAGGATTCCTGCTCAACACCCTATCTTCTGAGCATCCACATACCCTCCAGATAGGCTTTGATAGTTCCAGACTCCCTGTTTCTGGAAAGTCCAACCTTATTTCTGACTTGCCTTCTATGTTCTAGCCCGGGTTTTTCAACCTCAGTACTACTAATAATTTAGACCAGATAATTCTTTGAGGGGGGCTGTCCTGTGCACTGTAGGATATTTAGCAGCATCTCTCTACCCACTACATGCCAGTAACAATCCCCTCTCCCCTTTCTGTAACTGCCAAAAATGTCTGCAGACATTGCAAAAATCATCCTCAGTTGAGAACCACTGCCTCCTGCTAAGCTGAGCTAACAAACTAAGCTATTTTCTGCTCCCAGGATATCCCCTAGGGCTTCCTACTTCTGTGTCTTTGTTTATGAGGGTTTCTTCACCAGAAATGACCTTCTCACCAACTATGTTTAAATCTTACTATCCTTCAAGACCAGCTCAATGTTACTTTCTCCATAAAACTTAGCTGGATCATCTCAAACCACAAGCCATCTATTTCTCTCACCACTGAGCAGCACAGCTCTTTATCTGAACCTTTCTTGTTATGTGCCTACACATCTAATTTCTTTTACTAGACTGGGGGCACATTTGTATCCCAAGGAAATTTCATGGTGCTCAAAAAATATTTGCTAAGCCCTGGCCGGATTGGCTCAGCGGTTGGAGCGTCGGCCTGCGGTCCGGAGAGACCTGGGTTCGGTTCCCGCTAAGGGCATGTACCTCGGTTGCAGTTTGTCCCCAGCCCTGGTCGGTCGTGCGGGTGGCAGCCACTCGATGTGTTCCTTTCACATCGATGTTTCTCTCTCTCTCTCTCTGTTCCTCTCTCTCCCTCCCACTCTACCTGAACAAAAAAAATGGGAAAATGTCCTCGGGTGAGGATAAAAAAAAAAAAAAAAAATATTTGCTAAACAAATGAACTATTTATATAAAAGCCCAGAGAAGGGTGTGGGGCCTGCAGTCCAGAGAGCCTCAAGCTTCAAGCCCTCACCTTTGCCATACAGAGCAACTCCTCTTCCCCTCGCCCCTCTGCCCACCTGTGCTCAGCAGGACTGGAGCTTCCCGAAGCCATCTTGGCAGCAGCAAGGCCATGAAGATGGAGAAGCCAACAATGAAAACATTCCGCCCAGAGTCAATGTCAGCCAGGTGGAAGTTGGAGAATCCAGTAGACAGAACCACAGCCTGGGTCACACCCAGCACCCCACCTGTCTCATAGGAAAGTAATCAAAGAGGTTGAGAGAGAGCTGGCATAGCAGGGAATATTGCAGGGTGGGGCAGATTATGGTGGAGAGAGATGACCAAAAGGCTCATTTCTGATTCTGCCAGAAGACCAGTCAAGGGCTTCCAATGGGCTGAGAATATGAAGGCAGCTGACATATCCATGTATCAGGGAGGGTATTCAGAAAAAAGGGTGCCAGCCACAGCAACCATTTGGGCCACACTGGGGGATACTAGGTCAATACCAGTCCTGCTGATACATCCACTCACCAAGAATAGGCAGCGGGATGGTGAAGAGGAACTGGGCCAGCCTCGGGGAGAGCCCAAGCCCCACACAGAGCAGCCCCACCAAGTGGGCTACTCGCAGAGATCCAGCCTACATGGAGAAGAGACGTTAGAAAACACAGCCACCTCCTTAACTATTCAAGGTGTTTGCCTGGTGGCCTCTTCTCACCATTTGGACCACCAAATGTTACCCTTCCGAGAAGCATCCCCAAGCACTCTACCTAAAGGGGCCTCCTTTACTCAACCACTATCTCACTACCCTGCTTTGTTTTCTTAATAGCATTACCACTCTGGGAAATTACTTTATTTACATTTCTTTCTTAAAGTATCTGCCTCTGTCTCTGAAGTCCCCAAGAGAGCAAGGACTTGACCTGACTCATTTTTAACTGGTATCCCAGCCCTGGTACAGTGCCTGAGGCATAGAAGGAGTTCAATATTGATTTGGTGTCTTCCTTACATTCCTAGCCCCTACCACTTCCAAGCACCTCCCTAAATGAGGGCACTGATGTGAAGTGCCTAACAGTACAGCACACAGCTGTCAATCAGTGTGAGTTCCCTTCCTTCTCCTGCACCTCCAGCACCACCCCCCATCCCATCCACATACCTGGGTAAGACTCACTGTGCCTATGTTGGGGAAGCTGGATGCAGTGCCCATGGGGCTCCCCAACAGCCCAGCCAGCACACTTCCCAGACCCTCAAGGCTCAGCCCCCGACTGCAGGCATGTGGAGGTGGAGAAGGCAAATGCATCAGCCGGCCACATAGGGCGTAGCAGCCCAGGGAGCTGACGGAGGTTGCCAAGGCCATGGAGATGCCTGCAGCCAGAGCCCGGGATGTCAGCAAGGGCCAGACCCACTCAGCTGAAGAGGGAGAAAGAGTCACTTTGAAGCCAGACTCAAGTCTGAAGCATCCCCCTAGCCTCCAAAGGACCATGCTACAAGAATCCTAGAGGCCCTGTTGTCTTTAACGATGTCTTGGGACAAAACCATCAAACTCTTAGGATAAAGACCATCCCTTTACCATGGTCTACAAGGTCCTCTTTAGTCAGACCCTTACCTCTGTCCCTTTAGTCTCCTCTCCCACCACACTCTGCCTGTCTTCCTTCACTCTAGATACACTGGCCTTGTTTAAGGCTCTTGTATTTGCTGTGCTGCTAGCCACCACAGGGCTTTTGCTGTTCTCTCCACCTAGAATGGTCTTCTCTCTTCCTTCACCCAGTTAGCTCCCATTCATCTCTCACATCTCAGCTCAATGATTACTTCCTCAAGAATACCTTTCCTGACCTCTCTGATAAAGTCAGACTCCCCATTATAAGCTCTCATCACACAATGTACCTCCCGTTACACTTACCACAAGCAGTTTTGCACTTACTTGGATGCCTATTCTTTAATATCTGTACTGCCCAACAGATTATAAGCATCATGAGAACAGGTACTATGTCTGTCATGTTTATCACTATGTCCCCTATCGAGTATCTTGCGCTTAATCAGCAGTCAACAGACCTTTATTAAACTGATGAATGAGCAAACTTCAAATACAATACCTTAAAAGCAATCTTTATACATAGGTCACTAACTCAAATGCCTGTGGGGTAGGTAACATCAATGTGTAAATTGGGTAAGGAGTAGCAGTGGGGAGTGGTGGGGTTTGCAGATATAACACCAAAAAAATATCTGTGGTGAGGGGCTGGCATTGCCCCTGAGAATGGCAATTTCTGTTCCCTGTGTGTTCTTAGAAAACACAGGATTTAACTCAGAAATGAAATTCATTAAATCTTGAATTGACATGACCAATGAACATAGACATCAAAGCTGGGGATGGGGCAGAGGGGGAAGGGGAGGGTGTCAATGGGGGAAAAATGAGAAACATCTGTAACAAAAACAAATTAATAAATTTAAAAAAAAATTTTAATCTTGAAAGAAAAAGACACCTTTATTTCAGTAGGAGGATGGAGGACTAGGAGAAAACATACTTGGGTGAGGCAGCCAAAACCAGGGTGCCTCAGTGGGGGCAGACAGCTCCAGGGGGATGACGCTGAGACCCAGAAGGGCAGAGATGATCCACACACAGGCCACTGGGACCAGCACCTGACGGGGAAGACTAAGATGGAAAAGAACCCCTCCCCCAGATCCTTCCAGGCCAGCCTTAGAGGAGTAACAGAGGCCAAAGAGTAGGGGTCAGTCAAGCTAGCGTTCTATGCCAGCCCTTCTCATCTTGACTGCCCCTGCCAAGACCCCACATACCGAGAGGAGCCGGAAGGCAGGGATGTGAGCGCAAGTTGAAGAGGTGGAAGCTGACCTCCAGCGGCATGGGAGTAACTGGCAGGAGCCCAGGTGCTGAGAACAGACCACCATGAGCACGATAAGCCTAGGAGAGAGAGGGAGCTTGAGGAGCAGGAGGAAACAGGTATTCTGAGGCAGGTAATGGAAATAGAAGTGGCAGAGTACCATAAAAGGGGGTCCTAGAGAAGAAAGCCCCTGTAGACAGGGAAGGAGGGCACCTTGGGGGTCAGTGGGAGACAGTGTGAAAGTTAGGGAGACCATATGAACCCAGCAAAAGCCCTGGATTCCAAATCTACAAAGCTGTCCCTGCTCAGATAGCTGCTCCATCTGGTAAAGCCAGCAGCTCTGCCCTCCCCCATCCTGCACACCCCACTGGTCACCACCCGCTCTCAGGACTTACGTACAGCAAGGCCAGCCCCCAGTGACCTGAGCAGAACAGGGCCACCTCCCTGTGGGCAGAGAGCCCTGCCACGATCAGGCAGGGGGCCAGCACCAGGGGCCCACAGTGAAGGAACAAGTAGCCAGGAGCCCCCAACAGTCCCAGCATGCCTTGCAGCAGCCCAGACACCACCACTGCCCCGGATACCTGTGGAGTGGAGGAGAGGACAAAGAGAAAACTTTCTGCTTGACTGAGGTGACCTCAGCCTGGACTTCCTAACTAATTCCAGGGGTGGGTCCCTCCCCCAGAGTCACCCCCACCTCCTTCCCCTAGAGCAGCCCAGTCCCTGCATAGTGGAAACCAGAGCATCCCCAATCCTCAAGCAGTTACCTCTCTGAGAGAAGTGTTCCAGAGCTCCAGGCTATGGCAGCCAGGCCCCTCACACAGGTGCGGCAAGTCAGAGGCTGAAAAGTTGCAGGCATGCGGAGGAGAGAAATAAATGGGATGGAGACTCATTGCTGTGCAGTCCTCGCTGATGCCTGGTGCAGCTCCAAAACCCCAGAGTGCCTAGCAGTCCCACCATTGCACATTCTCATTCTGCACCTACCTACACCTGTATGCTCAGATTAGCACCTAACGCCACTCTCACCCCATGCCCTTGTTCGGTGCTCACAGTTTCCAGGTGTCTGGATGGCCAGAGGCAGCTTCTGGTTGGTCAGCACCAGAGCAGGGACAAGGAACTCAAAGGATGGAACCTGGACAAGAGGCAGCCTGTAGGAACAGCAGCCCTGCAGGTCTGGAAACAAGTGGCAGCCAAACAGACTTCCCAAGCCTCTCCTACCCTCTGCCTGACCCTGCTTTCTCCCACTAGGGAGTCCCCCTTACCTGCTGCCCATCCAAATTTGCAGGGTGGTAGACACACCACATGAAAAGAGGCTGGAGGCCAGGAGGTGGGCAGGGGAATAAGAGAGTCCCCCTGCGGGGAGACTTCGAAGCAGAAGCAGGTGGGAGGCACAGAGCAGAGAAGCCAGGACCAAGATATGCTGCAGGTAGAGGTATGGGAAGGGATGGTTTTCAGAAAAGGGCAGAAATAACCTATTTCCAGAGAATTTCTCTTGCCACATCTACTCCCCAAATACCACCTCAGCCAACACCAACTCCTGCACATCTATCTCCTACCTGCAAAGCCAGAAGACAGCTGAGGCGCCAGGGAGGAGGTCCACATAGAGAGGCCCAAGAGTGGGAGGAGGGATTTTGGACAGCAGGTTGTGGCGGCAGGGCAGCCAGGGCATCCTCGGAGCCCATGGATCGGAGTTGGATGGGATGGGGGTGTGATCGGCTCATGCTGTCCTGCTTTTCGTCTTATGTTGACTGCTCTGGGCCAGAATTAAGTAGAGTAAGAGGTCAGAGTTTGAGTGAAGTTAGTTGCCTGGAGTGGGGAGGTGGTTGGGGTGTCAATGAAGCAGAGCGAAAGAATGAGAGATTTGGGGCAGGACACAGCCCTTTCACCTTTGCCCAGTTCTTGTGCAAATTCCATCACCCATTAACTGGGAGCCATGTTCTGGATCCCTCCCCCAAGAATCTCCATCTATATCCCCTGTTCCAGGCTCTATAAAGCAGGATGTGAGGCCTAGAAAATAACCTGGGAAGATTTTAGACTGTATTCCCTTCTCACACAATTTGGAACCATCATTACACTGTAGTCTTCAGCCCTTTCAGGGTCAAACCCCCTGGACAACCTCTAAAGGAAATGCATGGGTAATGAATGACACACATGACAACTGATCCCATGATAGAATGTCCTCACTAGTATAAAGAAGAAATAAAAGTAATTTATGGTAAGTTTTTCATTATGTGAAAGTTTGGGCCCAACTAAATAAGACTCGAAGTAATCCAGTTTCCACCCCCACATGTAGAATCACTGTGGATGCAGTAGCTATGATGCCAACTGATACTGATACTTTCGTGTTGACTCATGGATCACAGGCAGTGCTGCCATTGGTTACCTGGTGCTCCCAAATAGTGAACAAGGTCACGGTAACGTGCTGAAGCAAAGTAAGTTTTAATTTGCATGGAGGTGCATTCCTGGAAAACTGAGTCTTTTTCAAATGTGCAGAAAGACTTTGTGTTTACATGTGAAGTTAGATAGTTCTAAGATCAAATATAAAGAGTTTTCCTATGCATGATGTGCAGCCAGTCATTCCATAGTCATCTTGGGAATTCTTCCTAACAAGAGGGGTCCTGAGCATCTCAGGATGTCTAGCATTTTGCCCAGGCTGACTAAATGCTAATAGCATATCCTCAAATTTTTGCATCAAAAGAATGCCCCAGCCCGGTCAGTATGGCTCAGTGGTTGAGCATCAACCCATGCACCAAGAGGTCACCAGTTTGATTCCTGGTCAGGGCACATGCCCAGGTTGTGGGCCTGATACTCAGTGGGGAGCATACAGGAGACGGCTAATCCATGTTCTCTCCCATCAGTGTTTCTCTCTCTCTCCCTCTCCTGTCCTCTCTCTAAAATCAAGAAAAAAAGAAAAAAAAAGCCCCATAAATTTCCAAAATGCCCCCTAGGAAGCACGCAGTACAGCCCTGCTATGGATTATCTTTAGCAGTCCCAAACACCCCCAGTCCACTTGTCCAGAGAGGTTTTCCTTCTTCCAATGATGACCCAGCTTGGACTACTCTTTTTTTTTTTTGGACTACTCTTAACAATACTACCACCATTTGCCAGACTGGATTGGAAGTCAGGATTCACAGGTGTCCTCGGAGCTTGTCTTCAAGAAGCTGATGGGGCCCTGGCCAGTTTGGCTCAGCGGTTGGAGCATCCGCCTGCGGTCTGGAGACCCGGGTTCGGTTCCCGCTAAGGGCATGTACCTCAGTTGCAGTTTGTCCCCGGCCCTGGTTGATCATGCGGGTGGCAGCCACTCGATGTGTCCCTTTCACATCGATGTTTCCCTCTCTCTTCCTCTCTCTCCCTCCCACTCTATCTGTACAAAAAATGGAAAAATGTCCTCGGGTGAGGATTAAAAAAAAAAAAAAAAGAAGCTGATGGGGTTCTGCTGGATACATGGCTTGGCCTCTTCCCACAAGATGTGCGTCAGAATCCCCAAGTACAGTGCTCACCCAGAACTTTCAACAGTCAGGGCCAACCCCAGGCATGTACAGTTGTCATCTTTGCCCCATGACACCCAAATTGAGCAGCACTTTGACCCCAGCATGCTGGGAGCAGGAATGAAGGGAAGTTTGAAATGGGAGCCTATGCCTACCAAATAGGCAGTTCTGAAATGGGGCTCAGAGAGCATGAGTTGCAAGATGATGGGATCAGGAAGTAGGGAGGCTTAGAAGACAGATATGGGGAAGAAAATTCTTCCATGGGCTGCCAGAGAAGGAAAAGTCCAGGCCATGCAACTGAAACTGTTTATTGAAACCTTAGTTCTACAAAAGCGTGAAAAACCCAGATACAAAGAGATGGCCAGAGATGCCTGTGAAGAGAACACCCAGAAGAGGAACCAGAAAAGAGGGAAGCCCAGGAGCAGGGTACTAAAAGGAAAAGGTTGGAAGACAAAAGGGCAAGGTTGAAGGTCCCAGTAGCACCTAGGTCCTTTAGACTACATCCAAAGGACAGGTGTGGATTAGGCTTCCCACCTCACCCTGCCTTCCCCCAGCAGCTCCCACCTTGGCCCTATCAATCCCTGGCTCTCTTGCTTCAGAGGCATCACACAGACCTGGTCAACATTTCCTCCTTCCCTCCCTCATACTTCCCATCTTCCACCTTTACCCCTCCATCACAGGGAACTAAACAGCTACAGTCTAAAAAAACCTAGAGGTGAATAGACAAGGGCTTCTCCTCTGTCCATCTATGACATGTCCCTGGTCACTGAGTTGAAGGCTTTCCCTGGCACTATCACTGCCCTGCCCAAGCAGCCAGCCGCTGAGGTCTAGGAGAGCGAGAGACCTTTAGTCCTTTTGCCTCATTACCCCTTAAGCTCCCTCACCCAGAGTAACAGGGGACCAGTCAAGGACCCAGAGAGGTAGAGAGGATCTAAATCAAGCATTACTCCTCCAGGTTCTCAGGGACTCCCGAGTCCTCTTCATGCATTCTTCAGAACCCTACCTAGCCTGGGAAAATGAAAGACTTGAGGCGGGTCAGCTCCATGATGCTGAACAGGGAACACTGCTGGGGCTGTGGGAGCAGGGAAGGCACTGGGCTCCAGGGCCATGGTGGAGCCAGGCCATTGGAATGGTGCCAGGGGCTTGGGGGCCCTGTGGGGACTGTATAGTTGGGATGGTGGCAGGCACGGCAGGTTGGAGAGTCTTTCTGGAGCTTCTGGCAAAGGGGACAGTTGTGGAGAAGAGTGGGAGGGGCAGGAGGATCTGGGGGAGGCAATGGTAGGGGGGTTGGTGAGGCCAGAAGACTGCCCCTGAGTGAACGCAGCCCTACATCGCCTTCCAGAAAACTGGAGACATTAGCAGGAGATGGCAGGCACTGTGGCACAGGAGAAGGTATGCAGGGTTCCAAGAGACACCTGGAGGCCAATCCAAGGTCCGGGGGGCCAGGTGGGGGACTGCAGGACAACCCCAAGGACTGATGTATTACAGCCACCGATGCCACAGCCAGGGCCACACTGCTGACATATGCCATAGCTAATAGGCAGGACAGCTGCAGGAGAGAAGATAAGAAAGGTCAGTGCCAAATACCCTTCCCCTAAAACCTGCTTCTGACTGTCTTTAACACACCTACCCCTTTGTCTCTAGAAGTTCAAGTTAGAGCTCTCTGTCACATCTTCTCCCAAACCCTATCTCCTGAGCCCTTGAGCATTTGCTTTACATCACCCCACCCACACACCAGCCCACTCAAGCCTCCTATCCTTCCTGACCCTTCCTCACCTTTGCCAGCCGATGGCAGAGGGAGCCTAGAGCCAGCTGCCAGGCTGGCTGCTCCAGCAGCACACACAGGTCTGTGTAGGTGTACCAGCCCCGTCGCCATCCCTGATGCTCAGCCACACTGTTGAGAGAGGACAAAAGACAGAGCATCTTCTGCAACCCTCCTGCAGCTGGCCCAAAGGCATCCTCATTCTCCCTGGGACCCACCAAGGAACACTGGGGAACTTGTTAAAAGTATAAATTCTTGGCTGCTTGTTAATTCAGAAACTGAGGGTGAAACCAAGATCTGTGTTTTGTTTTTGTTTTTTTGTGGTACGTGCCCCAGCAGGAACCGAACCCAGGACTCTCTGGCCCGCAGTCCGATGCTCAACCGCTGAGCCAAACTGGCCAGCGCAAGATCTGTATTTTTGATAAGTTTCTCCCACCTCTCCAAAGGGGACTGATTACAAAGAGGACAGACAGGTTTGGGAACCACTGTCTTGGGTAATTCTCTTTACTGTCTCCTCCCTAGCCCCAGTTACAGACCCTCATCTCTGTTTAGTTCCTATGGCTTAGGCCTCAGCCCTTAAGCTCTTCTTCCCACCTCCTGGAACCTACCAGCTCTCTAGCCAGCTCAGCACCTCAAAGATCTCCCGAGGATCAGTGTAGAGACGCCAATCCTGTGGGTAGGAAGAGAAGGGCACCAAACCAGGCTGAGACATGAGCTACAGTCATTTAATAACAAGAGCCGCAAGAGCACTACAACCACCACTACGGGTAATACTCAGTTGGCACATACTATGTGCCAAATACTGTTCCAAGAGCTTTTATGTATTAACTTATTTAATCATCACATATCTGGATTCACATTACACCCTCCATTAAGGGCATAGGGAGAAAATAATCCTGCAAATGGCCCATGCCCGTAGGAAGCTCAGAGTCTAGGCGTAGAGAAAGTCTGGAAGCAAACAATCAGAACCCAGTAAGATAAACTCTGATTCAGAGTGCACCTTGCTAGGCCTGGAGGAATGGGGGAGCGGAGATGCTCCATTTCTGGCCTCACACACTAAGAACCTCCAAAGGCTATAGTTAATCCAGAGGGCCAGAAAGGAAAGATACTAACAAGGAAAGACACACGAAGGACAAGCAGAAGAGAAATGAAGAAACAGAAGGCTGAGAAAGAAATCTAAAAGGGTGAAATGAACATAAAGATGGGCCAGGGAAACAGAACAAGAGAGAAAATAGCTACTCACCATGGCACTCAGGAAGCCCCTCTCCAGGGCATTAAGAGTGGGCACAGCCACACCCCCTGCAGCTCCCCATTCATCATTGAAGACCTCCTCCTCCTCCCCTTCATCATAGAGGTACTTACTGGCCACCATCTGCAGAGGAACCAGAGGTAGTGTCAACAGAACTCACACTGGGCTCCTAGTTCACTGGGAAAATGGGGGGGAGGAGGGTGTCTTACCATAGAAATCAAGAACAAGTCAGAGGAGGACACATGCTGTAGGTAGTCTGGGTTTCGGTGCCGAAGCCGCTCAATGTACACCAAAGCTAGCATCATAGCACATGGGGAGATACATGCCTCCCTGGGTGGTGGAAGGAATAAGTAATTAAACCCAAGAGCCTTTCAGCTCTTATAACTCTTATGATGCTCATCCCTGTATCTTTATATCTTCTCTTTAGAGATAACCATTCCCTTCTTTCTAGGGTCCAAACATCTTATCCCCCTCAATTCCAGGCTCACCGGGATACATGGGCTACATATTTCTTCTGGAGACGGCGAATAGGGCTGGGGGCTGCCTTCTGGAGCAATTCCACAGCAATGTCTGCAGGAGCAGAAGGAAGACAGAGTAAGCAAACAACCCCGCCCCCCAACCCCCACACACTAGTCCCCCTGCTTTCAGCAGAAGACCCAGATAGATCTATATTATCTGAGGCCTTGGAGACAGACCATAGTAACAAGATAGATGAAATTATCCCACACTGAGACAGAAAGCCCGTCCCAAGTCTGAACTTCAGTTCCTTCCAGTAGGAAGGCTTATTTTCCAGTCACCTGAAGTTGCTTAAATGTGTCTCCCACTCTTATTCATTTGAGAAATAAACATGCCTTATTTATTTGGAAAACCTATGATGGGTGTTCTTGGAAAATTAAGAGGTTTTGGTATACAAAACAAGTGTGATACAGATTTTTAAGACAGCAATGTTTTTTACTCATATGGGACTAAAAAAAAAAGCTAAACATAAACCCAGTCCTGGCCCTGGTAGTTGTGGCTCAGTTGATTGAGCTTATCCCATGCACCAGGTCAGGGAGGATTCCCCATTAGGGCACATGTCCAGGGTTGCAGAATTCATCCCCAGTAGGGGGCGTGCAGGAGGCAGCCTCTCACGGATGTTTTTCTCTCCCTTTCCCTCTCCCAAATCAATAAAATATACACTTAACAATAAATACAAAATAAAAATAAATAAATAAATAAATCCAGTCCTTATACCAAGTACCAATGAGCTAGCCCTAAAGTGTAGACATCTAGAGTCATTTTGGTGCCTCCTGACAACCCCATTTTCATGCTTCTCATTTGCCCAGTCACACAACATTGTCTAACCTGCCATGGGGCTGGAGAGCTCCTCCAGGCTACAGTCAGCTTCCCAGTCCCAGCCATAATAGAGTCTTCTCCGGATCCTGGCACTCAGCTTCTGGTGTCCTGGAAGGAACTGAAACAGGGCAGGAGGGTAAAGGGCAGGGAAGGGTATGACGGAGATCCTGGCTTCGGGCTAGAAGGGAGAGCGGGGCAGTAGGCCTGCCTCACTGCTAGTGGGTCGGGTGCTCCACCCAGCCCCGTGTTCTCTGGGTTGTTTGCCAAAGCAGCCGGTCCACAGGGAGGAGGAATCCTCCTCCACTAAGGGCTCCCCAAATGAGATTGTCCGAGAAAAAACCCCGGCTGGCCACCTCTATCCCCAATCCTGTACCCCACGGCTCTCCCCCAGGGCCCAAGCAACCGGGGCCTCAAGTAAGCATAGCTCGAGCGGCTGCCTCCCAACTCCAGGGTAGACAGGCTAGCTCGTTGGTCCGCTCGACCCCAAAGGGTGCGCCCGGGGTCCAGGCTCCAAGTGCGGCGAGGCCGGGGAGACCGGGCAGCGCGCTCACCGAGAAGTCCTGGAAGCCGGTGAGGGAGAAGGTGCCTTCTTCATCCAGCAGGAGCCCGGCTAGATCCATCGCGCCTCCAGCCGCCGCCCTGCGAAGGTGGATGGGAAGGGAACAAGTTCTAAGGGGGTGCGGAGCTGTCCCCGACCCGCCGGTTCACCTGCCCTCCGGCTTCCTCCGCTCCGGCCGCCGCCCTCGCCAGTGCCGCCCCCTCCCCTCGCGCCAGCGGCAGCAGGCGGGGCCCGGTCAGGCGGGCGCCTCTTCCTGTTCCGCCCCGGGCGGGGCTCCGCGCTCCGGGCTCCGGGCTCCGGGCTCCGGGCTCCCAGATCCGAGAGCTCACCTCACGCGGTAGAGAGGAAACCAGGCAGGGAGGCAGTGCGTACTGATCCAGTGTCGAGCCGCGCCACGCGTCTGTACCGCGTTTACAAGCCGCGGGGGTGTCGCGGGCGTCAGCGATCGCCACTTCCTGCCGCCTGCTGGGCCGATCCGCCGATTCCTAAGGCCGGGAAGCAGCTGGGCTCCAAACCTGTTCGCACTGAGTCCGGGCAGGTCACGAGCCCCAGCGTACCCTCCCCTCATCTGAGAGATGGGGACATTTCCTAGGGAGCCCTGACGCACTGAAGGTGAACGAGCCCGCCTGGCTTTTCGTAGTAATGTGGGTTTTTAATGTTAATAAAACAAGATGCACGACCGCGAGTTGCTCCCCATTGTTTTTTAAAGGGGAGATACACACACACAGAGCAATGAACATAAACATCAGGAAGGATTCACAAGAAACTTAACAGTGAGTGAACTGTGGACGAGGAAGCAGGGAAACTTTTTGCTGTATACCTTTAGGCTAGTTTGGAATTTTAAACCTAATTAAGTATGCATTTTGTAGGGTTATTGCAGACATTAAGTGACTCAAGGGACTATAATGCGCCTAGTACTTTGTAAACCTCAATAAATGGCGTTAACATGCCTCCAAAGAGTAAACAGCATTTTAACAGGATTTTATTTTTAAATTCTCCCTCTGACCACAATCTCCGGCTCTGAGCAGGGGATTGGAAGGAGCTCGGACACGTGGGGGCGGGAAAGTTTACAGAAAGAGACCGGGAGGAAACAACTTTTCTGAGTAGGTGAAGCTGTTTTCGAGTCTGTGGGGTGACGCGCTGGGATTTGTTTACCCGCCGAGAGGAGGAAACTGGGAGGACCAGTACGTCGAGGGTTGAGTAATGGGACAGCGCCGCCCTGCCAGAGCAGAAACTGATGCTACCCCGGGTGCTGGGCACCTGGAAGCCCCGCCCGCCCCTTCGGGCCGCTCCACACCGGAATACCGGGCCAGCCCCAGACTCCCTAGCCGCCCTGCCTACCCAGGGAGAAGAAAACGGGCTGCGGTGGGAAACACGGCGACGGTCCTGCCCGGAGACAGACACCACCTAGCACCCGACCTGGCGTCACGATTCTAGCAGCTAGAACACACCTGCGTGGGAGCCACGGTCACCCGTAACCCCGCGCGCAGGCGCGGGCCGTCCCATTCGGGCGGTGAGGGCGCGTCACGTGACAGGCAGGGCAGTCGCTCCGCCATCACGTGTTGCCCAGCGGCTGCCTCCGCGGAGCTCATCGCGGCGTGCGCCCCCTTCCGCCTGACGCGCCCCCAGCGGCGGCCGCGCAGCCCTGGCTCCTCGCGGGCTCGGGCGGCGGCTGCGGCGGGGCTATGGCGAGCGGCAGTGGCGGGGGTAACACCGGCGCGGGCGGGGGCCCGGGGCTGGGCCTGGGCCTGGGTCTGAGCCTAAGCATGGGTGAGGCCACCAGCGAGGCGGAGGAGGAGGCGGCGGCCACGGCCGAGGCGGTGGGACGCCTGGCCACGACGCTGTGGCTGCGGCTCCGTGGCTGGGAGGCGGTGCTGGCAGCCGCACAGCGGCTGCTGGTGTGGGAGAAGCCCCTGCACAGCCTGGTGACGGCCGCCGCGCTCAACGGCCTCTTCTGGTAACGGCCGCGGGGGAAGGGGGCGGGGCCGGGCTGCGTGGGGAGAGCGGGGGCGGGAGGGGCCCGGTACCCTTCCCCTTTCTGGGGTTGACACTCGGCCTGGGGAATGACCCATCTCCTAGTTTTTAAAGACTGCCTTGCGCATGGGTTGCCCGGTTACTCTGTCTTCGGGTCTCGAGTTAGGCCTGGAGGTTCCCATTCCCGCATCAGTGGGCGTTTTTCCGTCTTCTGCGATGGCTGCGGGAGCCACTCACCCATTCACTGCTGAGGTTCCTGTTTCTCCCGAAGGTTGCTGTCTTCGTCGTCACTCCGCCCCATCTTCCTACTCAGCATCTCACTTTTGGCCTATTTTCTGCTGGATCTCTGGCAGCCTCGCTTCCTCCCTGACATCTCAGGTAAGTGTTACTTCCGTCATTTAGCAGGTCCCATTGTGCACTGCTTTGTGGCTGACCTCGCCTGCTGGGTTGAGCCACCTGCCTCCCAGTCACCAATAGTCCCCCAATTAGGAAATCGAGAATTGGTCATTCTCAAAACTGGTGTTACCGTGAATGTAGTAGTTAAGGTTGTGGACTCTGCAGCCAGGTTGCTTGGGTTCCATTGTCTGCACAGCCATTTACCATGTGTGTGACCTTGCGAAAGCCACTCAGTCTCTGTTTAACTCAGTTTTCTCATTTGTAAAACAGGGATGATAGACCTTACTTCATCAGAAGGTGGTGATTAAATGGATTAGTAAATGTTATGTGCTTATGCTAGAACTTCACATGTCATAGGAAGTATATAAATGTTAGCTCTTACTGTGTTTTTATTTTTTACTCATGTATTTACTCAATAGGCTTTTTGGAGCATCTAGGTGCCAGGCTGTGTGCAAGTTGCTTAGGATGTAAACATGAATAAGGTGTAGTTTCTATGTTTGTAAAGGGTAAAGTCTAAAAAGGAGACACATATAAACAACACAACATAATGCTCCTTGCAATTGGTATCTGAAGAAAGTCCTCTGGGACTGCAGAAGAGGGGCACCTATGTCTGCCTTGGGGAGTGTCTCCCAAAGCCCCTACCAGTCAGTAATTTGTCCCCCTCCTCTCTCTATAGCATCATCCCCAGAGGAGCCACAGTCTGACAGGTGAGTGCAGGCCACCTCTTGAAGACAAATGCCCAAATCCTGTCTTGCTTTGGTGTCTGTCACCATGGTGCAGGGCAACACTGCAGCTTCCGTAGGTACAGACCCCAACATACTGAAAGGACTGTTAATTAGCTTAGTCCTAGGTTCCTGTGTAGGTGTTTGAGTGCCTGCTCCTTTTGGGATACAGGGTTGGGAGCTCTGGGCTTTGTTCCCTGGACCAGGACAGTCTCCCTTTGGGAGGTAGGGTTATCCATTTCCTTAGACTGAAGATCTCATTGGCATTCTCAGAGGGATTTGAGTGCCTAGGAAGCTGGTATCTGAGGCCTCCAGGGGTCATGTCATGTCTCCCCAGTGAGGGTGCGGGGTCAGGCGCCCGGCCGCACCTGCTGAGTGTGCCCGAGTTGTGCAGATACCTGGCTGAGAGCTGGCTCACCTTCCAGATTCACCTGCAGGAGTTGCTGCAGTACAAGAGGCAGAATCCAGCTCAGGTAACCTCCCCCATGTCATACAACAATTCCCTGCACTGTGGGGAAAAAGGTGAGGGGTGGGGAGGAGTGTTTGGACACTGAAGGGAGAGACCTGGTGCCTACTTGAGGGAACGTTCACAGCTATTAGCCTGGTACAGGAGGCAGTCTCGCCTCGGGAAATAAGCTGATATTCAGTGGTATCTATTGCAAACTTCCTAAACTGATGGTCTTGGGCATCCTCTCGACCAGACTGGATCACTGCCTTCCTAGAGGGCGTACCCCTCCTTTCACCAGCTGAGCAGTTATTTCTTACCCAAATGAATGGGGCATATACCTCAGCCCAAGTTCTTAGACCCTGTGCTCTTCTCTGCAGTTCTGTGCTCGAGTGTGCTCCGGCTGTGCTATGTTGGCTGTGCTGGGACACTATGTTCCAGGGATTATGATTTCCTACATTGTCTGTGAGTAGGGTCTAACCTTGCCCTTCCCAAAGCCCTCTCTTTGTCTTCTTTCCCTGGGCTGACCTAAAGAGAGGACTGTGCTCTCTCTGTGCTCAGTTACCCATTTATTAAGGTTCCCAAATGATGCTATAAGTCTTAGTAACAATGGAAGAATCATCGGGGAGGAGGGCAGGGGATATAGTGGGAAAAGGTTGGTACAGCCTCAGGAAAGGACCTCATCTTCTTTCAGCCCTTTCTGTTTAGGGACCAGTTGAACAAGGGCCCTTAGGAAATAAGCACAGGGAGCTCTGAGTGGATGCTCTATCCCCTAGTGCTGAGTATCCTGCTGTGGCCCCTGGTGGTGTATCATGAGCTGATCCAGAGGATGTATACTCGCCTTGAGCCCCTGCTCATGCAGCTGGACTACAGCATGAAGGCAGAAGCTGACACTCTGCATCACAAACATGACAAGAGGAGTAAGGGGCTCCTGTAACCCGGCGGGGGAGGGCCTTGGCTTGTGGCTCATGAAACACCCTGGAATTTGACCATGTTTTCCCCCCACTACTGTCCCTGCTTGGTGAGTATCCTGCTGCTCTTGTTTCTCTAGAGCGGCAAGGGAAGAATGCACCCCGTGGAGGTGATGAGCCACTGGCAGAGACAGAGAGCGAAAGCGAGGCAGAACTGGCTGGCTTCTCCCCTGTGGTGAGGTCCAAGGGAAATGGGGTATCAAGTAAAGGCAGGGGGGCCCTGGCTGGTTTGGCTCAGCAGTTCGAGCGTTGGCCGCAGACCGGAGAGACCCGGGTTCGGTTCCTACTAAGGGCATGTACCTCAGTTGCGGTTTGTCCCCAGCCCCGACGGGTCATGTGGGTGGCAACCAGTCGATGTGTCTTTCACATCAGTGTTTCTCTCACTCTTCCTCCCTCTCTCCCTCCTGCTCTATTTGTAGATAAATGAAAAAATGACCCTGGGTGAGGATTAAAAAATAAAAATGAAGGCAGTGGGGAATCTGCTTTAGAGCAGTTACCTCTCAAGGGGTAGGAGTTGGTGAGGGGGTGCTTCTGGAAAATTGGTTCTCTTATCCCCTCATCCTGGTTCTCCTGCAGGTGGATGTGAAGAAAACAGCACTGGCTTTGGCCATTACAGACTCAGAGCTGTCAGATGAGGAGGCATCTATCTTGGAGAGTGGCGGCTTCTCAGTATCCCGGGCCACAA